AGGAAGGAGACTTCCTAAGGTTATCTGTGTATATATATATATATATATATATATATATATATATATATATATATATATATATATATATTCGGACCATGATGCGATATATATATGTATATATATATATATATATATATATATATATATATATATAAAATAGAAGGAAAAAGTCTCATTCAAAATATCGGATATTAGAATATCTCGCACGATATAAACTTGACTGTTGCTACAACTTTTCTAGTAGTTTTTCTTTTGATTCATTGATCAAGGAGACACTGGTAATATTTAAACTAAGCGACCAAACTACGGTATACTCTAAGAGGAAAGCATTTTAATCAAGATAAAATATTTAAACATTATGCGTAGCAACTACTGTGATATAGTGACCTCTGTGTAATACAGTATGTCATTGTCATGCACCGAAAATGTACTGTGCGGGTTTAAATTTTCTCATCGCCAAAAGAAAAGAAAAACCTCATATCGATTGCGTAGTACAGACGGTGCATATTTTTTTGATGTCTGGCCATTATATTTCTATAGTTATTCAGGCATGTATTAATTTTGATCTTGTTAAACCACCGATCAATTATGAACGGCAATTATACAGCCAAGGAATATCGATAAACAATGAGACGAGATGTAACTGAGCAATCAAAGACAGTTTCTTATTCAGAAGCGGGCTTCAAAACTGACATCTGCGAGTCATTGAAAGTGTCGGGAAGTTAAAAATGAAAAAGAAAACGTCCAAAAGACCCTCCACAAAAAAAAAACAAAAAACAAAAATATAACAAAAAAAAAAAAATACAATTCTTCGAAAAATGAAAACGATACAACATGATGAATCTCACTTATTGTGAAAGTTAATAAATTCCGCATACTTCTCTATCTCAGAGCCAACAAACAAATATATAGCTTGTATGTTTCTCACGAAATGTCTAAGAAAAGTTAATATGTATGTTGGGACATCGAGAAACGAAAAGCCTAATAATGCATGTAATTTACGCAAGGAATATTTTTCTTAATTAAAACAACTTACATTGTAAAGATACTCAAATTTTAAATCACATAGTTATTAATATTAAACACAGAAATATATGTGTGTACATATGTGTGTGTGGGTGTGTATGTGTGAATTGTCATTAAATATGAATCAAATATATATATATATATATATATATATATATATATATATAGATAGATAGATAGATAGATAGATTGATATATATTATTAGTGGTAAATATACACATACATATGCAAAATATATAAATATATATACATACATACATACATATACATATATATTTGTATAAAAAAAATTCCAAGACGATAGAATCCAGGTAGAACTCAATGTGCAGGACAGAGTAAGGTTTTTCTTTTTGAATTTTTAGGTCTGATGAATTGGATCGTATTTACGATTCCAATGGAATAAATTATGACCATGGAATATCAGTGTTTAAGCCTTTTTATTATTTTATATATATATATATATATATATATATATATATATATATATATATATACATTGTTAATTATATATATATATGAATTGTAATTAAATATGAATCAAATATGTAAATTGAGATTAATTTTCATATATATATATATATGTGTGTGTGTGTGTGTGTGTGATAATAATATATATATTTAATAACATATTATATATATATATATGAATTAGAATTAAATATGAATCAAATAAATGTAAATTGCGATTATCACATATATGTATGTATATATATATATATATATATATATATGAATTAGAATTAAATATGAATCAAATATATATAAACTGAGATTAATTATAACACACACACACACACACACATATATATATATATATATATATATATATATAAAAGAGAGTGGAGATAAATAGAGGTAGATACAGTGGGTGAGCGATAGAAAAAGTGAGAAATAGCTAGATGGGATCAGGGAGAGGGAGTGATAGAGAGAGGGAGAGAGATGGAGAGGGATAATGATAAAATATGGAGCAAATTTCATGACCCACCAGCTCGGAAACTCTTTTATGAATCTCCATACCACTCTTACATATGTCTGTGTCTTCCTCTACTCACCAATCTCTTCTTTCTCTACCGTTAACCCTTCCTGTCATGAGTGTTGCACGCGAGATAGTATTTCAGATATTATACACAAAGCCACATCCTTTCACTGGTCTGCAAATATATTTGTCTTCGGTGATTTTAATGAACGCTATGCCAAGTCTTTGAATTCCATGCAAGTACTGGACGCTAACTTAATTCCTGGTTCGCAGTCGTGGAGTATTTCGACTTCTTTACGAAGTAAATGGTCTTAATATACACTGCTCTCACCCTCGGACTTGGGATTTAAATTCGGACGTAGTATATGGCCAACAAAAGAAAAAAATGTCACTGTTTGCGTCTAGGAAGCCAAGTAATTGTAGTTATGGTGGCCAGTTTGACTTGTATGTATCTCTTTGAATTTCATTCGTAATCAATTTATGTACCTATTCTTTTTCCCCCTTTTTTGCTTTTATTGCTGTTACCAATCCTTTTTTTTTTTTGCTTTTCAAAATTTTTCTTTTTAATTGAAGTGAATTTAGTCTACCCCCCCTTTTTTTTTTCTTTTGAAAACTTTGAATATTAACGCTTTAAATTTCAAGCATGTATTTGACGCTAACTCAATTCTTGGAGTGTTTCGACTTCTTTACGAAGTAAAGTATCATATTAACATTGCCCACTACCTCGGTCTTGGGTTTTAAATTCGGACGTATATTTTTTCAGACCTGTTAGGCTAATATGTAAATTTAAAATTTTCCTCATATACGATTATATATTGTAGGTAATCTGACTTATTCTGGTTTTGGTAACCAGGGCGATTAAAATAATTCTTCGATAATTGTCTGATATTGTTTTAATAGTGGGCAATGGAACATATATTAAGTTAAAACTTAAAAAAAAGAGACCTAATCATTATATTTTATTCCCTCGCCTTACGAACTCTGTGTGTACAAGGTATTTTGATGAAACAGATTTGGGGCCGAGTAACTCATCATATATATATATATATATATATATATATATATATATATATATATATATATATATATATATGTGTGTGTGTGTGTAAGTATTCCACAGTTGAAATGTCAGCGACTAAAACAGACTACCTCTCACCAAGTTCTTCCGAGTGAGGCGGCTTGTTAGCGAGTCAGTAGGACGAAAAATAGGATCTAACAAAGGCAGAGGAACTCTCTGAATCAACGGCAAGTTAACTAGATGTGGTATCTTCATAAACCACCTTAGAGAAGCCAACAGGAAATCACTCCACTATTAATCCCACGATACACCATGGCACATAACACACACAAATTGAAATCGTGAATGGGTTTAACTCCTCACCCGGTAATGACAGACATGGCCAACAGGTATCAACTGACGGTCGTCCTGTGACTGCAAGCTAAACGGCGTAAAGGGGATAAAATTCCTCGAAATATATCCCTCGCCCGGAAAGGAACGACATGAACGGCAAGTGTCACTGGACAGTTATCTTGCGACTGCTCGCATCAAACAAAAAAATAATTCGCAAGTCATGAAACATTCGGACGTTGAACAACTGCAGGCCGTTTAATATTGTAAAACAAGAGATGAGTAGGCTAAAAATCAACATCGTAGGTGAATGTGAAACCACAAGGCCAAACAACGGAGATTTTGTCAGCGACAAGCACAGGATTATTTATGAAGGCGGAGAGAAACAAGATAAAGGAGTAGGATTGATACTAGATAATGTATGTAAGAAATGCGGATACTATCCGAAAGAATTCTGGTAGTCAAGCTGAAAAGAAAGCATTTCAACATATCTATCATAATAGGGTTCTGTCACAATGCCATGTGTCCTCGAGGACACATGGCACAGTGGAAAAAGACGTTGGTTAGATCCAGTAACAGAACTCAAAGAGTGTGAGTTCAATACTCGGTTAAGGCAGTGGAGAACTTTCAGAGGGAAATTAACGAGATAACTGATAACTGACATCCATCAAGCATGGCACGTGGAACTAGAACAGTCTACCCCAGTGAGCGAAATAAAGGGTTCAGTTCGACATTCCAACCACCTGAAGAAGGCCGGAGCGTACAACGGCCGAATCGTTGTGATAAATATGGCGACAAAGATGAGGACAATAGTCCGAATAATGTAAATAATGTACATAGTACCTCATCTCAAAAATATAGATAGACTATATATATATATAAATTAGTGGCATTTCTATTTGTGCTGTCTTCATTAATTTTCTAAAAATCAATAATGCTACGTATAAAAATCTATGAGGTACAATAAAATGTTGTATTTCTATTTCAGTAAAACATTTCTTTATTTGGATATTTAAAAAAAACATAACAACCTGTTTGCTCACAATTCTCTTCTATAATATATTTTTATATGATTAATGTTTGTGGGATTTGCAATCTTGACAGACAGCTGACTCTCCTATATTTTTTCAGATTCTAAATCGTACTTTTATTTTTCTTTTGTAGATGCGACTCACTTCCGGTTGAATATATGTGTCTACGAGTCGCACTTGCCCTGCTACCCGTAACTATGCCTCGTCTTATATCTGCCTCGTTAGATTAAAAAAAAAGATTTATTGTTTTGGAGACGACTTCGTACGGATTAGGCAAAATCAGTCCACACCATTTCTTCCGAGAAAGCAAGGATAAATCTGATAGTATCCCTAAAGTGCAAAACAGTACATTTGGATTACTGTTGATATATATATATATATATATATATATATATATATATATATATATATATATATATATATATATATATATATATTGCTTGTTATCTGGTTTAATATAAAAGATGCGGATTCATGATCTTTGTTTGCTTTTGAGGTCGAATATCTTATCTCTTCAGCGATTTGTATCATAATGCAAGACTTAATAGATGGGATATGATGAGTAATGTGATAAGAATTTTGAAATATGCTTTTACGCCTCATTATAATTCCTAACGTTTATATCTCGCATTCAGGTTCAACTTGGAATAAAAGAAAATTGATATAAGTATTGTGAACATGAAAACAGATATCCGAAATTATGGAAATACGAATGTTCATCTTTTCTTTTTTTGACTTGGCAGTGAATAAATTACTAACATAAAAGACGAAAAATATTTTATTATATAGATAGCCATTATGCCTTCTTAAATTAACTTCTCCGGTGTAGACGTGTATAAACGTTTTTACCGAATGTCTCTTTTTTTCAGAGTATGACGAATGAAAGCGTCCAAAACATATCGTTCAAATACCATCTCCAGACGTGTTTATAGTGTCGATCTTTATTCTTTTTAACCACTTAGCTTGGAAATCTGTCCGTTTGTCAACTCATACGTTTGGTAGAAGTGCTAGCCACCGCTCTTGTGCTTCATAAGACTCACTTTCTTAATTATTATATTAAATCAAATAAAATATTCGCCTGAAAATGAAAGGTTTTTTCCTAAAGCAATTGGCTGGGGAGGGGTTGATATACCGTTACAATAACGGTCTCCATTATACGGATTCTGACAGAATATACCTCCCACATAATGCTACTAAGATATTAGCTAAGTGAAGAAACCAGTCATACTAATGTGTTACCAAGATATGGGTGGTATTTCTGGCGAAACCTGTATTAACGAACTGTATCAAAACATAAGATCATTAGGAAATAACTACAGTGTATGGGGGCACAGACAAAATCTAGACCCTGTCAGTTAATCTCGCATCAGATGTAGCTCTAAAACCTTAAAGGAGTGGGAAAACGGCTTGTAGCTTTAAATAGCTCCAAAACCAAAACTAGACCTTGAAGTTTTATCTATCATGACGAACCGTTGTTCTTTCAGCGACACTCCTTGTCTTGAAAACCTATTTGGATAATTAGGTTGAACCTTCACGGCTAGGATCCGAGATGCCAGCCGGTTATGTGCCATGCGTGATACACGCGTAGGCGATTTATGTATCTTTCGATACATGACTGATGAGGCTGATCTTTTTTTCCCCCGCATTACCTTTCCATTTCTTTCTCTGGTAGACAAGTTGCCATCCAAGTCTATAGAACCTATTTACCCATAAGGGGAGGGGGAGAAAAATTGGATACTTAAATGAATGTAATTTATTCGACAGGAATTCGAACTCGGTTCTCGGATTCCTCAATCCGAGCCGCTATCCATTACTCCACCGTGCCTCCCTTATACGCCACATATATTACAATAAAAAAAACAAAACATTCAAATTTCGTCCATATTCCATCGGTGTCAAGTTAGTTTCACGTGAACAGCTTCTTCCCACGAACCCCTACCCTGTGGAACCGACGAAAATGTTTACTTGATTACTACAGTGTAACCCGGATATAAGAGACCCGGATATAAGAGAAACCCGGATATAAGAGACTTCTTCTCCGGTCCCGACAAATCGCTTATATCCGGGTTACACTGTATAATCTAAATCTGTCCAGATCTAGGTTTAACCTTTATCTCCCCCTCCTATCCGTATAAACTGCCACTTAAGTCACTGTAATAAATGTTCCCTCGGGCCTTGTAAAGAGTGAACCTTAATATAAGAAAAAAAGTTCAACCCAGGCATGAGGTGGATCTTAGGTAGAGGATCCATCGTGAAAGATGCTGGAAAGATGACCGGTTCTTGTATCGAACCAGAACGTACCTAACTCCTCCTGATATGCCCTCTCTTTAAAAGAGACAAATCAAAAATTAGTACTGCTGCTATAGCTGGGATGGAACTGTCCAGTCCACATTTTCCAACCTTGATTTGAGTTCAAAATCTTTTACGAAGCCTCGAGTACGTTGAATTACTTTCAGCCCCTTTCTTACAGACGGATCCTCTCAAGCCTCTCCTGATTCCAACAAATGACAAATGATCAGACGTGATACACTCATTAGTTACACAATTTCAGACCTTTAAAACTAAGAACACTTTGCTTCGTAAACCGGAACGAACCATCCATATTTCCTAAATATAGCAGTGGTACGGAGGATTGGAATTCGGACATATTATTCACAAGAACCGCCTCTACTTCGTGGAATATCCTCCTGAGAAGATAACTCCCCGATCAATTTACTGCTTATAATTATATATATTATATTATATTCAGGCCGGTAAATGTTATTTAATACTATTTATTATAAACATAGCATTTACTTAAATACTTGTATCTATAAAAAGAATGTTAAACATAAAAATGTCTTTAATAAATTGTCGGACTTTATCCAATTCTTAATGTATGGCGTCATTTGTTTACATTTGATAGGCCAGAGTAGTTATGAATGTACGAGATTCATGGAAGATTGAAGTTTATAAACAGTAAATTCGACCTTGCCTACCGAACGCTCCTTTGTGGCCGAGTCGGTTAAGGCACGTCAGCATAAATGACGGTTCCGTATAGGATGCAGGTTCCATGAAAATTTCTCGGACATTCAAGCCTGTAAATGTTATCTAATACTGTTTATTATAAACAGAGCATTTACTTAAATACTTGTATCTATGAAAAGAATGTTAAACATAAAAATGTCTTTAATATATATATATATATATATATATATATATATATATATATATATATATATATATATATATATATAAACAGAGTGGCAACAAAGTCACTATTCAGTTACTTACGGTAACAATTAAGACAAAGCAGTAGTCCATAAATTTATTATTAAATAAGTTATTTTATTTAATTTTGCTTGTGGTCTTAATTTTTTTTTTTTCTTCTGGGCGTTAAATATGTAGAAATTTCCAAATGATCTGTATGCTGCACCGCTTTCGGCTGGACTTTTATCTATTATCAAGGAGGTTTTATTTTTACTTTTCAATGAATATATGGATTGTTTTATGCTTATACTACAGTTATCGGAATGTTTTATTTGTCTAACACGGTCATCTGTCGCTGTGTACGGAGTTGATATAATTGAGTGTGGGAAACAAGAAATTTATAAAGACACAAGAAAAAGTTAGATAAAAAAAAAACCCAAAAAACTTAACCTCAGTAACTTGTCAGTCTATTTTAATGAACATTTTATAAAAGACGGATTTGATTGCAGTTCAAATACTCAATTATATATATATATATATATATATATATATATATATATATAAACGGGACTAAACACCTCAATTCAACTCAATTTTAATAATTATTTGTATGGTTTCGGCTCTCGTTTTTGAAACATAAGAACTCTTATGTAGCGAAGGAATCATATTTTTAAACAAAATATATATATATATATATATATATATATATATATATATATATATATATATGTATATATATATGTGTGTGTGTGTGTGTGTGTGTGTGTCTGTGTGTTAGTGTGCGTGTGTAGTGGAAAGAAGTCTTGTCGGAGTACTAACATTTCCACGACGTTCCTGTTGAATTCTTTACTGCTGCGTACATTTCTGGTTTATGGAAATGGTGGTAAACGGAAAGATTGTAGAGAAAGATTAAAGAGTGATTTGATGGTGTTGATGAATCAAGAAAAAAGTAAAGATGAAGTTTATATTCAGACGGATGAGTAGAGAGACAAAACAGGATGGAGAATATTACGAATAGTGCGAGAATGGCTGGAATCACACACACACACACATACACATACATACACACACACACACACACACATATATATATATATATATATATATATATATATATATATATCAGAGAGAAACAGAGAGAATGTAAAGATCAATATAGCTTAGCAAAGAATTAAACGCTCTCATGAAGATTTTCTCATTTTTTTTAATATTCCTCCTTATTTGCTTTGTTTCGGCAGAATATATATATATATATGTGTGTGTGTGTGTGTGTGTTTGTGTGTCTGTATGTGTGTGTGTTTGTGCATAGATAGATATCTGTTATAATGATTTAAGCTAGAATTTGTTGTTCCATGAAGAGATGATTATCACATACACACGCATACACACACACAGAGACACACACACACATATAAATATATATGTGTATATATATTTACATATATATATATATATATATATAAACAGAGAAAATGTAAAAATCAATATAGCTTAGGAAAGAATTAAACGCTCACATGAACATTTCTCTTTTAACGTATCTCTCTTATTTGCTTTGTTTCAGAATATATATATATATATATATATATATATATATATATATATATATATATATATATATAGATAGATAGATAGATAGATAGATGTGTGTCTGTTGATAGACAGATAGATAGATAGATGTATGTGTGTCTGTTGATAGATAGATAGATAGATAGATAGATAGATAGATAGATAGATAGATAGAATCATGAAAGCTAGTATTTGTTGTTCCATGAAGATTTTATTAAGAAATAATAAAGAGATAGCAATAATAAAAGTAGATAGAGAGATATATGTAGATATAGATAACAATATAGCTAGATATAGATATAGATAAATGTATATAGCGATGGATGTACATAGAGATGCATGTATATGTAGATAGAGACAGAAAATAATATGTAGACAACATAAATAATAATCTTGATCACAATATTTCCGCATAATATCATCTTTCCACATGTTTGCCAGGGACATCGCACTCAATCGTGACCGGAATTTTCTCGTAATTTTCGTTTTTTTCCTTCTTAAAATTTAAATCGCATAAAATATTCAAATTCCTATTTTTTTTTTTTTTTCATAATTTCAGGTTGAGTCGTTCAAAGTAGAGGATTTACTGAATGAGTCTTAACACTTTTTGCCTTCTTTTTTTTTTTTTTTTTTTGAACGTGAACTCTAATGTTAGTCTGATACACATGGCTATTTCCCATAGAATATTGATTTTCATAAAAAGAGAAATTAACAAAAGAAACAAGAGAAGGTGGGGGGTGAAACGATAAAAAGTAAAGGAGAACAAAAGAACTAAGGAAAGAGAAAAAGGGGAAAAAAAGAAAAGAAAAGAAATAAGAGAAAAGATATATGCGTGTGTGAAATGCTTAACAATGTCCGGGTCGGTCGAAGAGAGCTAATGAGATCGTAGAGAAGGAATAGAGAAATAATGTGAACAGGTAGTGAATTTGGAGGGAAAATATTTTCAAGATATAAACAGAAAAACAATCTCTAACTTAGAGTAAAAACTGATATAAAGATGTTCATTAAAAAGAATAAAGTATAAATAAAAACAAAAAACAAAACAAAATGAATTATAAGCAGAAAGAGAGGTGAAGGGAAGCACACGATACTGAAGTTATATATTGGGAGCAAGAAATATGTGGAAGTAAAAAAAAACAGAAGTAAATGAACAAAAAGAAGAAAAAGAAGACTGAGTCTAACGAAGACAAGATGAAGTAAAGAAAAGAAAAAAATTGAAAAGATGAACAAAAGATTATGAGGAAATAAGACGAAAAAAAAATTACAAAAATAGTAGATGTAGAATGATATAAGTGAGGAAAAACACAAGAAGAGACTGAGTATAGAAATTAAGATGAAGAGGAACAGAATTAAAATAAAAATGAAGGAGAGGTTGTGGAAAAAGAGAATGAATAGAAGATGGAAGTATATGAAATTATGTAGATATAAAAAGGATTGAATAAAATCGTTTTAAAAAGTGAACGAAAATAATAAGATTAGGAATAAAGTCTATAATAATAATAAGAAGAATAGGAATGAGAAAAAGGAGAATGAGAATAAGAGGAATGAGAATAATAAGAATGGAAATAATAACAATAATGAGAAGAATAAGAATGGGAATAATGAAAATAGAAAGTATATGAATGTGAAGAATAAGAATGAGAAGAATAAGAATGAAAAGAATGAGAAGAATAAGAATGAGAAGAATAAGAATGAGAAGAATAAGAATGAGTAGAATATGAATGAGAAGAATAAAAATGGGATGAATGACAATAGAAAGAATATGAATGAGAAGAATAAGAATGAGAAGAATAAGAATGAGAAGAATATGAATGAGAAGAATAAGAGTGGGAAAAATGACAATAGAAAGTATATGAATGTGAAGAATAAGAATGAGAAGAATAAGAATGAGAAGAATGAGAAGAATAAGAATGAGTAGAATAAGAATGGGAAGAATGAAAATAGAATGTATAAGAATGAGATGAAAAAGAATGTGAAGAATATGAATGAGAAGAATAAAAATGGGATGAATGACAATAGAAAGAATATGAATGAGAAGAATAAGAATGAGAAGAATAAGAATGAGAAGAATAAGAATGAGAAGAATAAGAATGAGTAGAATAAGAATGGGAAGAATAAGACTGGGAAAAATTACAATAGAAAGTATGAATGAAGAATAAGAAGAATAAGAATGAGAAGAATAAGAATGAGAAGAATGAGAAGAATAAGAATGAGTAGAATAAGAATGCGAAGAATGAAAATAGAATGTATAAGAATGAGATGAAAAAGAATGTGAAGAATATGAATGAGAAGAATAAAAATGGGATGAATGACAATAGAAAGAATATGAATGAGAAGAATAAGAATGAGAAGAATAAGAATGAGAAGAATAAGAATGAGAAGAATAAGAATGAGAAGAATATGAATGAGAAGAATAAGACTGGGAAAAATTACAATAGAAAGTATATGAATGTGAAGAATAAGAATGAGAAGAATAAGAATGAGAAGAATGAGAAGAATAAGAATGAGTAGAATAAGAATGGGAAGAATGAAAATAGAATGTATATGAATGTGAAGAATAAGAATGAGAAGAATAAGATTGAGAAGGATTAGAAGAATAAGAATTAGTAGAATAAGAATGGGAAGAATGAAAATAGAATGTATAAGAATGAGATGAAAAAGAATGTGAAGAATATGAATGAGAAGAATAAAAATGGGATGAATGACAATAGAAAGAATATGAATGAGAAGAATAAGAATGAGAAGAATAAGAATGAGAAGAATATGAATGAGAAGAATAAGAGTGGGGAAAAATGACAATAGAAGAATAAGAATATAGAATGTGAAGAATAAGAATGAGAAGAATGAAGAAAATGAGAAGAAATGAAAAGAATAAGAATGAAGTAGAATAAGAATGGGAAAAATGAAAAATAGAATGTATAAGAATGAGATGAAAAAAAGAATGTGAAGAATATGAATGAGAAAAAGAATAAAAAATGGGATGAATGACAATAGAAAGAATATGAATGAGAAGAATAAGAATGAGAAGAATAAGAATGAGAAGAATATGAATGAGAAGAAGAAGAAGAAGAAGATTAATGCGAATAGTAAAAATAAGAATGAATAAGAGGAATAAGAATGAGAAGAATTAAATTACGATTAATGAGAATACAGTAAATAATATATTAATAATTATAATTGCACAGATTCAATGTTAGAATTACCAAGCTGACATATTAAAAAGTTGTGTTGACCCCAAATGTGATAAATATTAAGAAGTAATTGACCATATTGTATCAGGCTTCACAGTATTAGCACTGACAGAATATAAAAAGTCGGCATGATAGTGTGGGCGAATATCTGCACTGGGAAATATGCTTCTTTTTACGGGAATGAAACTGCAAGAAACTTGTATGAACATCACCCAGACCCGGTTACAGAGATAGAACCTGTAACAATTTCATGGGACTTTACAATACACACAGACAGTACAATCAAAGCTAATCACCCAGACATCGTGATCAAAGACCACAAAAACAGAATGTGCTTTTCTTGTTGATATGCCTGTCCCTTTAGATTGTAAGATCTTTGAAGATCTTTAAAAAAAACTATCAAGATACCAGGATCTTCAAGTAGAAATCTCAAAAATATGGCACATGAGGACATGAATAACTCTAATTGTAGGGGGAACCCCGGGATTGATTGGAAATGATTCCGATAGACTCAGTGAAGGGTTTCCTGGTAGCCCATGCCTTAAAGAAATAAAAAAAATTGTACTCTTAACTACAGTTCACACATTACGAAGAGCTTTATCTATGTAAAATGTGTGTGTGGTTAGTGTTTGTTTTTACAAAAATGATAAGTGGAAAATGCCATAAAGCCATTTCTGATCTTATGTCTCTGGTTGGAATCCGGAAGGAAATGTTTATAAAACAGAAAGCAAAGGTTATAATAATAATAATAATAATAATAATAATAATAATAATAATAATAATAATAATAACACGAACGAGATGTGGCTTTCTTTTCTACTGCATGAATTTAAGCGTGCTATGAGAAAGGCTTCTAGCTTCCACCATGTTACTTTGGCAAGTTAAATCTAACCGCCGCTTCTACTTCAAGTGTTTCTTATGTCGCTCTTCCGGACTGTGGAACTACCTTCCTCTTGCCTGCTTCCCGAATAATGACAATGTTTAAAAAAATTAAATTCAACGTCAATCGCCATCTTCTGTTTCTTTGGTCTCCATTCTCCTTTTATTGTTTACTCATTCCGCACAATAACCTGTACTTTTTTTTTGCTCATTTTCACTCTCAGTAACCCCGTGTGTGCTAGTGGCACTCTCGCCTTACTTGGGGTGAAAGGCTTAAAAAAAAAAGAAAAAAGAAGAAAGCAAGGAACAAATGAGAAAGAAGAAAAATATAAATAGGTAAGTAGAAAGACTTAGAATTTTGCGAAGTCAACAAAAAGTAACTCGAAAATAAATATAAAGCATAATTTAATTAAAAAAAAAAAAAAAGAATGAAAAATGAGGAAAGACGAACGGAGATGAAAAATAAATTCATATACAGAAAAGGTATGTGTCGTGAAACGAAGTTGAAATATTACGACCCGAAAAAGAAACAGGTGGGACAGTGGGCGGGGAAATGGAGAAAGAATAAAACAATATAAAAATAATAAATACGTCGATAAGAATGTGCAGATGATGGCGGAAAAAATGTTGTGTCTTATAAAGCAGAAGTAAGAGGCAAGGTGAAACATGATGTGAAGATTAATGCGACAACTATAAAGAATGGAATAAATGAAAAATGAAGAATAAGGAAGAAAAGAGAGATGAAAAAAAGATGTAATAATTTTAAATCTTAAAAAGAAAATATTTTTTCTTAGACGAGTTTAACAGCTGCGTTCTCAAAAGAGTAAATATTTTATGAAATAAAAGGAAATTTAATATCGTTTTTTTTTTCCTCAAATTCAGTAACACTTTGCGTCTTACTTCTATGCTAACAGTTACTTATATCACACTTCTCGCTTGTGGAACTCTCTTCCAGCATCTTGTTTCAAGTCAAAATTGATCTTCAAAATATTAAATGCAATGTCCTCTTCTGTCTTAATTTATGTTCTTTTATTGTTCTCTTTCTTTAATACCTTTTTTTTCTCAAATTTCGTAACCCTTTGCATCTTAGTGGATTTATAGCTTTGCTTGGGGTGAAATGATTAAAAGAGTGATGTTCTTTCTGTTATTTGGTATAATTCTTTGTTTCTGATGCTGTAGCGCCAGTCCACAATGCTCGAAGAAGAGCGATCTTCGCCAAGATCCACAGAAAATTAGCTGGCTCTATTTGACATCAACTAACATCCAAAAATTAATCGACATATTGGAAATTTAAGCTCATGAAATAATCCAGGAGTAGAAAGGGAGGTTTATCTCATCCTATTCTAATTATGTTTGTCCCTCGTTTTATTAGTTCGC